CATAAATTGGTTACTTCAACTCTTATTGATTATGCCTTTTTTTTTTATAAAATAAGTTGATGTTTTCGTTATATGCTTGTATTTTTTTTTATAAAATAAGTCAAAGTTTTTATTATATACTAACTTTGCATAATTAAGATCAAGCTTTGCTTTTTTTATTTTCATATAAATAGCTTGTTTTAATTCTTATTAATCTAGTTTTTTTTTTCTTTTTATAATCTTGTATTTTTTTATAAAATGAGTCAAGATCTTCATTATGTGCTTGTCTTGTATAATTAAGATCATATTTATTTTCATATAAATAGCTTGCTTTAACTTTTACTTTTTTTTTTATAGAATAACTCAAGGTCTTCGTTATATTGTAAGTATTGTGAATAATAATATGGTAACAAAATAATTTAATCTAACCCAATAAAGTAACAAGACTGAACCTCTAAAAATAGTAGGTGTCAATCAAGGCATAGTGAGATGTGGTCTGAGTCTTTTTGAGCCCGGGCCTGTAGAAGTATAACTAGGGCTTTACTAAGTCTCTTCTAACATTATTGGGTGGTTACTTGTATACTTTATATAAACCTAAATACTAATATCTTTACTTTATTCTCTTTTTTGAATATTTTGCTTATTTTGGAATCATATATGCTATAAGATTTTGGTAATTTCATTTGAATGATAAAAAAAAAATATAATAATGGTAATAATGATGAGTTTAATTTATTTTACTATAAAAGAGGTCTGATTACTAATCAACACTTTTCTTTCTACTTTTACAATACAAAAAATAGCAATTTCTCAGGGTATCACAAAAACAAGAAAAGACGAAATACAAAGGTCTTCATTAAGTGCTTGTCTAGTTGCATAATTAAGATTATGTTTTGCTTTTTTTATTTTTATATAAATAGCTTGCTTTAACACTTATTAATCTTGCTTTTTTTTTTTTATAAAATAAGTCAAGATTTTTGTTATATATTTGTTTTGTATATTAAAGTCAGGCTTCATTTTTCTTATTTTTATATTAATAGTTGCTTTATCTTTTACTAATCCTGATTTTTTTTTATAAAAAATCTTCATTACATGCTTGTCTTGTATAATTAAGGTCACATTTCGCTTTTCTTATTTTTACATAAATAGCTTGCTTTAACACATATTAATCCTAACTTTTTTTTTCATAAACTGAGTCAAGGTTTTCATTACATATTTGCCTTGTATATTAAAGTCAGGCTTTGCTTTTCTTATTTTTACATAAATAGTTTGCTTTATCTATTACTAATTATGATTTTTTTTCATAAAAAGGTTTTCATTACGTGCTTGTCTTGCATAATTAAGGTTATATTTCACATTTCTTATTTTTACATAAGTAGCTTGTTTCATCTTTTACTAGTTTTGACTTTTTTCTATAAAAGGTCTTCTTTATGTACTTGTCTTGTATAATTAAGGTCAGGTTTTACTTTTTCTATTTTTACATAAATAGTTGCTTCAACTTTTATTAATCATAATTTCTTTTTTTATAAAATAAGTCAAGGTCTTCATTACATACTTGTCTTGCATAATTAAAGTCACATTTTGCTTTTTTTTTTTTTTATATAAATAGCTTGTTTTGATTTTTATTAATTCTGCTTTTTTTTTTTATAAAATAAGTTAGGGTCCATATTATTTCCCCAACAATCACTTCCCCAATATACACCTCCCCGACAATCATTTCCCTGACACAATTAATTTTCTAACTATCATTTTCCCAACAAGATCATTTCCTCGATATTCACTTCCCTGACAAGATCATTTCCCTGATATTCATTTCCCCAACATACACCTCCCTAACAATTATTACCCTGACAAAGTTACTTCTCTGACACAATTATTTCATCGACAAAGTTACTTCTCTGACACAATTATTTCATCGATATTCACTTTCCTGACAAGATTATTTCCTCTATATTCACTTCCCCAACAAATCTCTTTCTTGACAAAGTTATTTCCCAACACAATTATTTCTCTAACAAATCAATTTTCTAACAAAATTGTCTCCCCAACATACTAATTTTCCTGATATTTTATTTTTCCAACCAATTACCCGACATAACACTTACCTAACACGATCATTTACCCAACATTCCCTTCTCCAATTTTCTATCTAGTATCATCACCAAATCAGAATTGATAATTAAATCGGGCAAATACAATGAGATATACAATATATAATTTGTATATTAAAATATTAGAATAAAAAATTAATGTACTGTCACGGCAATAGGAAGACTTTCTTATAATTGGCAGTTTAAATCAATTTAATTTTACATTATTTATACAGTTTAAAGTACTTTTTAAAAAAAATAAACCTACTATGAATAAATAAAAAAAAAGTATATAGAAAGTTTTATTAGAGTTGTAGGACTCCACAATTAAAAATAATCAAAATGATTTCTGGTTTTAGAGAAGTTAGCATAATAGTAACTTCTTAAAGATAGATAGAATTAGGTTATTGCTATGCTAACTTCTCTAAAACCAGAAATCATTTTGATTATTTTTAAAAGTGGAGTCCTACAACCCTAATAAAACCTTCTATATACTTCTTTTTTGTTTATTCGTATAGGCTTATTTTTTTTAAAAAAGTACTTTAAGCTATATAAATAATGTAAAATTAAATTGATTTAAACTGCCAATCATATAAAAGTCTTCCTATAGCTTTCACGGTTTAAAAATTTTAACCTGTGATCTAGATGTGACTTGGTAGTACTAAAAGCTCAGATGACTCAAGCCACAAGAATATTAAGAGGCATCTGGGTCACTGTTGAAGGCTTAAAGATACAGAATTTTTATAATTCGATAATGCTTTGTAACTAAGTAAATATTAGAATAATAAAATTTTCTTTTTTATCATCATGCTTACTTAGATAAGAATAAGAAAATTTCATTATTATTCTAATATTTACTTAGTTACAAAGCATTATCAAATTATAATAACATTAATTGGATGCAGAAGTTTTTGGGGAGGTCTCTACAAGAGTTGGATCAGTCCGGTCTGTCCTGGTCCCTAATAAGACCGGTGTTATGCTCAATTTATGAAATTCTTATTTTGGTATAGATGGTTTTTTAAGCTTGGCAGATCCTTTATTCATGCAACCTTATCCATCCCGGCATTACAAATTTCTTGGAGGTTGTTATTATCCAAACTACATTTTTCATCAACTTTTGCACTATCATTTAATCTATTGCACAATGACATTTCGATCTTTTGTTTCTCATATTCAGTTTCATTAGTTTGAGTCTTAAACAATTTGGCCTTCCTTTTTTACGTTATATATGCAGCTTCGAGTAACTCATAGCTTTCAGGTAATTTTTCACTTCTAGCAGACTTTAAATCCCATTTAAATGCTATTCTTTCATCTTTAACCGTGTTTTTTTATTCTTGACAGCAAGTTTCAAACATATTTGTTCTACCCCAACACTTTTAGTATTTTTTAAATACTATTCAAAAGCTTCGTGTTTATCTACAGTAGATTTTTAGTAATAAATAAGTGCTTTATATTGATCCATTTTGACTCCAACTCCATTCTTTTTAATACTTATTCTATTTTTATAACATCATCCAGGTTTATAGATTTTGCTAGTATGGTCTATATGCGAGTTACTATATTTCTATCCTTAGCTATATTGAAGCTATTGTGATGAAGATCACATATCATTTTGTTATGATTCACCTTTCTGGCTTTGATTATTTATAACTGCCCTGGATTCATACTTTTCGACTTCAAATCCACTTTGGTAGCAATTACCAAAATTATTTATTTCTAGGATATGGCCTATTTTTACCAATTTTTGATTATTAATAAATACTCGATATTCACCCTTTTTGACACAAGACTTAGCTACTTTTTCTTGATTGAACACCACTACATCATTGCTATTATCATCACTTTGTTCTTCTACAACCACTTTACCAGCAACGCTTATTACTCTTGGCTCAACTTTCCTTTAGGTCCAACCAATACGATTTTTATTTGTAAGTTTTTGATATTTGATGAGTGTTTCGTATTCATTTCTATAACAATAGCCAGAATCACATGCTTTATCTTCTTGGTTGGCCTTTTCAGATTTTTGTTAGTTAACAGATAACTTTTGTTCTTTTTTTTTAGCACTAATTTCATTCTGGTAACAATGAACAATTCCAGAAAAAGTAGATACTGGTATGTTATTATTATTTAACATTTATGTTTATCCTTCTCAATCCTGATTCTATTTTAATAACTACATTCAAGATCAAATAAACTTCAGATATCATCTAATGGACCCTCTTG